GTCTTCGTACGTTTCCCACCACCAGTCTGATGGACATCACGCTGATGGGCTTGGAATGGGAATATATTTCGAAACACCTCACCACACTCATTACAAGTATACTCCCTTTCGGCACCTCTTCGTTCGTGCATTTTCATATACCTATTCAGTTTGTCCTTGAAAAATAATAAATAAGCATAATAGTTTAAAATACATTGCAGTTAGAATATAAACTGTCGGTACTATATACCTTTCGAGCAAATTTCTTGTGGCATCTATGGCATTCGTATACTTTTTCCTTGCTATGGACTTTCTCGTGACGTTTCAACATATCTTTCCTAGCGAAGGATTTGTCACAATGGTTGCAAGAAAAAGCTCTTTCTCCAGTGTGTACACGTTTTGTATGGCGCTTTAGGTCGCTGGATCGTGTAAACGTTTTGCCACATTCATCACAGGTATGTCCAGGGTTTTCGTCTCGTCGCCAATCATTCCATTCAGCCAAAATCTGCTCCTGCGTCTCCGACGACCAAGAAAATGTGTCCACGGCACAAAGCTGGCGATTGACATCGTCATTTTCCAGTTCGCTCATAAATTGATCTCTCGTATAAAAATATAGAAGTCGATTACATACACAAAACTCTCGATATTATATTAATTTTCAGTTCAAATTAAACTTACCAAATATTCTCTCGATGTTGCTGGGCCATTCTCTTCCAAGTACTTCTCTCCGAATATAAATTTAACAAAATCAGCTACCCAAAAGAACTCCAGTAAGAGCGTTGTCAAATGCAAAACTATGCTTGTTACAAGACGCTTGTCGATTTTATACAGACGCTCGTTAAATCAAACAACCAATCATAGTAAGCCAACATTAATCCCTCCATTGTATCATAAACGTGGAGGGACGCTAAAAAATGCGTAGTCAGCAAATTTTGTTCAATTTCGCCCGAACAGGCCCGCGTGACGTCATTACTTACCTGATCCTCCCCGCGTGACGTCACTACGCACCCTCATTTGTGCGGCCCCCTTAATTACCTGCATATATAATGTGCGCCGCCCCCTTGCATAGTAATTACCTGCATATATAATGTGCGGCCCTCTTGCATAGTAATTACCTGCATATATAATGATGCGGCCCCCTGCGGCCCCCTAAAAATAAGGCCCGAACGGCCTCTATATTACTACTTATATATATATATATATATATATATATATATATATATATATATATATATATATATATATATATATATATATATATATATATATATATATATACTGAATGTCAATAATTCGAAGGTCGCGGGTTCGAGACCCAGCCGCGGCAGACAACATCTTTCTGCTTGCGCTGGGTATGGAAATTATATAATACACACTCTAGAACATTTTCACCTTAACATATTAGGGAGTGTACCAAGGGCGCCGGAAGCAACATGAAGCGGCAGGGGCAGCCATTTAAAAAGGGCACTTACTCTTGAGCCTTAATTTTTTTATGAGGCGGGGGGGGGGGGCAATGTTCGTTAACATTTTGCTGTATAACGGATACTTCATTACTTGCAGCTAATACAGTTAGACAAATTTCGGCATGGATTGGAACATTTTTATTCGTTGCATGACACTAAAGACTAAAATGTATTGTAAAGCAACATGACAGTTGTCAGTTATTTAGGAAGGCTTTCTTTTTCACTTTTTTTCATAGGTGGAAACTGATTGGTAACGTTTCTGAGTTGAATTCAGATTCAAATATGAGCTAAATTGTTTAAAAACAGTTTTCAATTTCAATTCATGTGAAAAACGCACGACGTTCGAAGTGCAGTTCTGGTAAAAAAGGCAACCTGCTGCCCCCGTGCTGCCCCCGCACTGTTTAGGCAACGGGGGCAGCTGCCCCCGCTGCCCCCGTGGCTCCGGCGCCCCTG